TTGACCACATCTTGTATGTCTGGTACATACAATGCATTCCTTTGGTATGAGTTGAGGGAATTAAATGTTTTCCACTTGCTTTGTAGGTGAGGTGTCCTTTGAGCATAGATAGGAGCAATCACACCATGACTGAGTTCATCCTGGTGGGCTTCACAACAGACCCTCTGATACAGTTGATCCTATTTGTGGTGTTCCTTGGTGTGTACTCTGTGACTGTGATGGGAAACATCACACCCATAGTGTGTTGATCTGTAAAGACTCCCAGCTCCACACACCCATGTATTTCTTCATTGGGAACTTGGCATTCCTGGATCTCTGGTATTCCTTTGTCTACACCCCAAAGATCCTAGTGACCTGCATCTCTGAGAACAAAAGCATCTCACTTGCTGGCTGTGTAGCCCAGTTCTTCTTTTCTGCTGGGCTAGGATATAGTGAAAGTTACTTGTTGGCCACCATGGCTTATGACCGCTATGTGGCCATCTCCAACCCACACCTTTATGCTCAGGTCATGTCGAATAGACTGTGCACTTACTTGGTTATATGTTCCTATACTGGAGGTTTTGTCAGTGCAACAATACTCACTAGTAACACATTCACATTGGATTTTTGTGGTGACAATGTCATTGATGACATTTTCTGTGATGTCCCACCTCTGGTGAAGTTGGCATGCGATGTGAAAGAGAGCTATCAGGATGTGCTGTACTTCCTCCTGACATCCAATGTCATCACCCCTATTGTGCTCATACTGACCTCCTATCTTTTCATCATTGCCGCCATCTTGAAGATCCGTTCTACTCAGGGCCGCCTCAAAGCCTTCTCTACCTGCTCCTCCCACTTGATCTCTGTCACCTTATACTATGGCTCCATTCTTTACATCTACTCTGGCCCAAGCTCCAGCTATTCCCTTGACAGGGACAAAATGGTTTCTACATTTTATACTGTGGTCCTCCCCATGTTGAATCCCATGATCTACAGTCTGAGGAATAAAGATGTGAAAGGTGCTCTGAAAAAACTCTTCAAGTTAACTCCACCAGAAGTCTAAATTGACATAACTTAGTTAAATCAGTGCTAGGTGATAATGGATTGTTTCAGGGGAAGGTATGGCATATAGGATTTAAAAACAAACAAACAACAACAAAAACCTCTTTTCTATTAAAAGAATTCACTGGCTAGATTACCTTTTTGTTTTAGATTCTCTTTCTTATTTTAGTGTCTTAGTCTATTCTGTACCACACATATTTCCATTCAGTCAAACTGAATGTGAGTTATGGGACCCCACCACGTGTGGCAGAATATAACTGTGTCTCTGTGTGTGTCTGTGTGTGTGTGCTCCATATGGCATTCCAGGGCTGTGCCTTTTCAAGAACAGAGGCTCCTATGGCTCAATCTGACTTGTCAAGATTTATAGCTGCCAACCACTTGACCAGTTGTGTCAACTAGAAACCAGTACAGAATAATAGATCCAGTTTAATGTTAATATAGTTTTTATAAAAGCAGTATGTTGGTTTAATGTGACACAAAGAAAA